GAAACATACTCAACCCTAATAAAAACATCACTTTTGAAAATATAGGATAAGAGTTACATCTGAAAATAATACACTATCAATTAATAAATAAATAAATAAATAATTGTTAAGAGGTTTAAACAGTGTCTCCTCGTGGCCTGTTCACTTCTCTGAAAAAGGTCTGGGTTTTCTCCAATTACTTTGGATGAACAAAGACATTTAATTCAGGTTATTTCATATAAAGGTGTGCGTAAATTATACAAATCTGCCTTAAAAGCCCACTCCACTCTAGACTTTTCTCAATTGCAATTAAAAATTGAATGTTTATCTTCTATGGAAAGCTGTTAACACAAGAAAACGTGTCAATTGCCACTCAATGAAGCATTTCTCTACTGATATTATGCTCTCTGTATAATGTATCTTTATTACCATTCTTATCTGCTTCTGGGTGAGGTGCATGCTTCTCCTGGAAGGCAGGCACGTGCAGAAGGGGGGGCTTTGGGGGCTCAAGCCCCTGCCCTTTTTCAAAATTATTCAAAAGTGCCCCTCTCAGACAAATAGCAATGATATTGTGGTCAATAAAACAAAATGCATTTGAATTATAATTAGCATGACAATGTGTACAAAACAGTAATAATCGCTCAAAAGTCGGTAAAATCCTGTTTATTTTTTACATATCTCGTGCGTTTGGTTTTGCTTGACTGACTGATTCGGAAACCTTCTTTTAGTGAGTGCCTATGGGTCGCAGCAAAAATTAACTAAACAATATTTTAAACTTTTTTTCATCAATAATCAAACCTAGTGTGTCGATTTAATTAGGCTATTTTAGAATATTACATAATTCATCAATGCCCGTTTGTCATGTATAATACACCAACCAACTATGATCTGGCACAAGAAGTTCAAATTTCTTTGGACAATAATGTGAAGTGGAGCGGTCATTTTCCGTTCTTATTCATAAATCAGTTGAAAATTACATGGACAGACGAGCTTACCTTCGTGGAGCGATCTGGATCTGCGGTTTGTCTCATTTGCAGAAAGAAAACCGTGCCGCGCTAAAAGTCGCAATAATGGTAATCAGTATTTAATTCACTAATGGTACACCGTTCACTATTTCATGAAACTATCATAGTTAATGAAGCCCAAGTGCCACCTACAGGCCTATTATGTGAAGTGTAGGCTGGTGAAATGGTGATGTAAAAGGACTTTATTATATTACCGTTTTTCGATGATTATGCAGCATTATGAAAGTGTCTTATGCTCATCAAGCCTGCATTTATTTAATCAAAAATACAGAAAAAAACTGTAATATTGTGAAATATTATTACAATTGAAAAGAATGTTTTTCTATTTGAATATACTTTAAAATATAATTTATTTCTGTGATGCAAAGCTGAATTTTCAGTATCATTACTCAAGTATTCAGTGTCACATGATCCTTAAGAAATCGTTCTAATATGCTGATTTATTATCAATGTTGGAAACAGTTGTGCTGCTTAATTTTTAAATTTTATTTATTTATTTTGTAACCTGTGATACTTTTTTTGGGGTTCATTGATGAATGAAAAGATAAAAAGAACAGCATTTATTCAAAACAGAGATGTTTTCTAACAATATTAATCTTTACTATCGCTGTTTCTATAAAGTTAACAAATCATTGCTGAATAAAAACTAATTTCTTTCAAAACAATAAAAATAAATAAATACTGACCTCAAGCTTTTGAACGGTAGTTTGTTACAAAAGTTATATTTTAAATAAATGCTGTTTTTTTCTAAACTTTTTATTCATCAAAGAATCCTGAAAAAGTATCACAGGTTTCCAACATTGATAATAAATCAGCATTGCATTAAATGTATTTTAAAGTAGCCTATATTAAAATTTTGATCAAATAAATGCAGGCTTGATGACCATAAGTGACTTCTTGCAAAAATATTTCAAAATTTCATTTTGAAAATGATTCCAACCATATCGTTTCTCTGTGCCTTTATCATTATATCTGTGGTGTGGACTCTGCTATTGAGAATATCTGAAAATTATTTTTAGAACTATATCTCTAGTTATCTTTATAGTTATCGTTCTTGGTGTAAACGGACCTAAGTTAATACACTCGTCAAGTAAAACATTTCACAAAGAAGCTTAGGCTTCAAATGATTAAACAACAGATAGGGCTTACCATTTTAAAAAGAAGACAAAGTATTTGGACACATTCTGGTTATCAAACGTTACTGGAACATTATCATAATGTAGATACCTCTGTGAACCTGAGGTGAAGTGAATTTAGTGTCCAAATACAGTGCTGTGTGCTATTTTTGTAGCTTATGAGATTTTTTGTTGATCTCACCCTCAGACTCATGTGCTATTACTGACAATTAGTTAAAAAAGAGAATTTGTATACATAATGAAATGAAATCCACTACTGTGCTATTTTTTATAGCTTATGAGATTTTTTCACCACTGTGTCTCGTGCTATGTTACCTAATTTCTTACTAAGCTGACAATTAATAATAATAAAAATAATAAAACAGATAAAGTGCTTGACTTAGATAAAAAAAATAAAAATAAACATAAGGCATATATTTAAAGGAGAGAGAAACAAAGAATTCCTGTCATATTGATGCTCTGCTGTGGCAGGTCCAAAAACAAATCCATGCAGACCTAGGCTCGAGGGCAGGGGGAAAAGTTTTGAGCAATGTTGCCAGGCAACTTTGGTTAATGTTGGCGTCAACGGGCAACCAGGTGAGACGCAGGGCGCACATCCGATCTCAAGTATCCAGATTTGTTACACATTCTCAATGGGAAAGTGCCCAAGAATCATTGTTCAAAAAAAGTTGTCCGGCAAAATTGCTCAAACAGTTGCCCCATGTATCATCAGACTTAGACTCCCAAAGGTCAGATATTTATAGTGACACTGAGATTCTGAGCAAATGGTTCATCAGAGATTCCTTTAATGTTAGTCTTATTTTCAATACAAATGCATACACATCAATTTCAGCTAAAATCACATAGAATTACTATTGCAATAAACATCACAATACGAAAAAAAAAAATGCTGGTCTTCAAGCAGGGGAGAGGTACATTCACCCTACACACACGCAAACACACACAAACACACACACACACACACACACACACACAGATCTCCAACATCCACACAGGAATAGATAAAAATGGAAATTCACATGACTATACAACACTAATATAATGTGCTTGTGAAAGCTTGCATTCAAGGACTGTGGTGATGTCTTGGTGACAGGAGAGTGGTTTGTTCTATTTTTTTTATTTTTGTTTTTACTAAAAGCACAAATACCTATACAAACAAGCCAGCATTACTCAGTATAAATATTCTTCATCCAAAATCAGTGCAGCACCTTCTTCATTTGTTTTTCAGGCTTTATCTGGTCTATTTAACACCTGGTCGAAATTACGCATGGGCTTTATGACAAAAAGCCCATTAAATCTTCGCAGAATTCAAACAATGTTTTTTTTTCTGAATTTTCAGCATCATTACTCTAGTCTTTAGTGTCACATGATCCTTAAGAAATCGTTCTAATATGCTGATTTATTATCAATGTTGGAAACAGTTGTGCTGCTTAATTTTTAAATTTTATTTATTTATTTTGTAACCTGTGATACTTTTTTTGGGGTTCATTGATGAATGAAAAGATAAAAAGAACAGCATTTATTCAAAACAGAGATGTTTTCTAACAATATTAATCTTTACTATCGCTGTTTCTATAAAGTTAACAAATCATTGCTGAATAAAAACTAATTTCTTTCAAAACAATAAAAATAAATAAATACTGACCTCAAGCTTTTGAACGGTAGTTTGTTACAAAAGTTATATTTTAAATAAATGCTGTTTTTTTCTAAACTTTTTATTCATCAAAGAATCCTGAAAAAGTATCACAGGTTTCCAACATTGATAATAAATCAGCATTGCATTAAATGTATTTTAAAGTAGCCTATATTAAAATTTTGATCAAATAAATGCAGGCTTGATGACCATAAGTGACTTCTTGCAAAAATATTTCAAAATTTCATTTTGAAAATGATTCCAACCATATCGTTTCTCTGTGCCTTTATCATTATATCTGTGGTGTGGACTCTGCTATTGAGAATATCTGAAAATTATTTTTAGAACTATATCTCTAGTTATCTTTATAGTTATCGTTCTTGGTGTAAACGGACCTAAGTTAATACACTCGTCAAGTAAAACATTTCACAAAGAAGCTTAGGCTTCAAATGATTAAACAACAGATAGGGCTTACCATTTTAAAAAGAAGACAAAGTATTTGGACACATTCTGGTTATCAAACGTTACTGGAACATTATCATAATGTAGATACCTCTGTGAACCTGAGGTGAAGTGAATTTAGTGTCCAAATACAGTGCTGTGTGCTATTTTTGTAGCTTATGAGATTTTTTGTTGATCTCACCCTCAGACTCATGTGCTATTACTGACAATTAGTTAAAAAAGAGAATTTGTATACATAATGAAATGAAATCCACTACTGTGCTATTTTTTATAGCTTATGAGATTTTTTCACCACTGTGTCTCGTGCTATGTTACCTAATTTCTTACTAAGCTGACAATTAATAATAATAAAAATAATAAAACAGATAAAGTGCTTGACTTAGATAAAAAAAATAAAAATAAACATAAGGCATATATTTAAAGGAGAGAGAAACAAAGAATTCCTGTCATATTGATGCTCTGCTGTGGCAGGTCCAAAAACAAATCCATGCAGACCTAGGCTCGAGGGCAGGGGGAAAAGTTTTGAGCAATGTTGCCAGGCAACTTTGGTTAATGTTGGCGTCAACGGGCAACCAGGTGAGACGCAGGGCGCACATCCGATCTCAAGTATCCAGATTTGTTACACATTCTCAATGGGAAAGTGCCCAAGAATCATTGTTCAAAAAAAGTTGTCCGGCAAAATTGCTCAAACAGTTGCCCCATGTATCATCAGACTTAGACTCCCAAAGGTCAGATATTTATAGTGACACTGAGATTCTGAGCAAATGGTTCATCAGAGATTCCTTTAATGTTAGTCTTATTTTCAATACAAATGCATACACATCAATTTCAGCTAAAATCACATAGAATTACTATTGCAATAAACATCACAATACGAAAAAAAAAAATGCTGGTCTTCAAGCAGGGGAGAGGTACATTCACCCTACACACACGCAAACACACACAAACACACACACACACACACACACACACACAGATCTCCAACATCCACACAGGAATAGATAAAAATGGAAATTCACATGACTATACAACACTAATATAATGTGCTTGTGAAAGCTTGCATTCAAGGACTGTGGTGATGTCTTGGTGACAGGAGAGTGGTTTGTTCTATTTTTTTTATTTTTGTTTTTACTAAAAGCACAAATACCTATACAAACAAGCCAGCATTACTCAGTATAAATATTCTTCATCCAAAATCAGTGCAGCACCTTCTTCATTTGTTTTTCAGGCTTTATCTGGTCTATTTAACACCTGGTCGAAATTACGCATGGGCTTTATGACAAAAAGCCCATTAAATCTTCGCAGAATTCAAACAATGTTTTTTTTTTTTTTTTGTCAATGTTTTATTTTGTTACCTTGTACCTCAAAGGTCCAGCTGTGAAGTACAGGTCAATGATTCTTTTTTTTTTTGTTCCTTAATCATTTTAGAGATATAAAATGGAGTAAAACATTCTTTGACAAGTGGTTCAGTTTTCTTTTGTGGTGTTTTCCTTTTTGAAAAAGTCTTTCGGTGAACTTGATCTATTGGATTCCCCTGAACAGACACATGGCGAACACCATTGCAAAAAGCTGTTGAGAAAAGAAAAAAACATCTTATATAGATCCATATGAAAGTAAACAAACAATTATAAATCACTCAAATAGTTTTGCTTGATTTAGTTCTTAATCTTAAGGGGCCCTCACTTGTTATAAAAAGCTTCATTCACCTTCTCTGCTAAATTGAAAATTGTTCTGTTAATCAATTTAAAGGGACAGTTCACCCAAAAATTTAAATTCTGTTATTAATTACTCACCCTGAGTAATACCCATAAGACCTACGAATAAAGTCTTTATATTTGTTTTCATTGCGCACAAAAAGTATTCTTGTAACTTCATAAAATTACGGTTGAACCACTGATGTCACATGGAATATTTTAATGATTTCCTTACTACTTTTCTGGGCCTTGAACGTGGTAGTTGCATTGCTGTCTATGGAGGATCAGAAAGCTCTTGGATTTCATCAAAAATATCTTAATTTGTGTTCCGAAGATGAACGAAGGTCTTACGGGTTTGGAACAACATAAAGGTGAGTAATTAATGACAGAATTGTCATTTTTGAGCGAATTATCCCTTTAATTTGTATTGTATAGCATGATGATTCTCAGAAGTCACTCACTTCTGCTGTCTGCCTCCAGCACATTACCACATGAGGGCAGCAGTGATTTAATTTACAGGACTGTCTCTCTTCTGTTAAACTCCATCTCATGTGTCTGTGGTCATTCTCTCAAGATGTCCTATCTTCAACAGTTTTAAACTATTCTCTGAGATAACGTCAGTGGAACAGACATCATGAAATGCCATACCTCAATCGTGAGTACAACAATAGCCAGGGCACCAGCAACATAGATGTACATCTCAAAGTAGTCCACAACCGCTGAATAGCAGCCCTGCAGATCCAAACAGAAAGAAAAATATTTTTATTTGTACAATTCTGTGAAATAATGCCATTATATAGACACCTAAACATGTTGTCTCTAAATCTAAAAAAAAACTTGTACGCTATATTCTGCTGTGACCAATTCATTGAGTTTGAATGAGTGACTGAATCATTGCTTTGATCACTTCCATTAGTTTTTTTCAGACTTTTTTTTTTTTAGTTCATTTCAATTTTTCAGACTTCTCACAAGCAACAACTGATCATATTTTCATTTATACTTTCAAACAATTGCTTACTCTCACTTAGAGCAAAACCAACCAATATTTCAATCTCTTAATAGAGCAATACAGCTGAACAATTGGTATGTTGTTAAACAACAGTACAATTGAACAGGCAGCACATTTATTCTCACAGTCTCATTTTCATTCCTGTCAAAAATGAAATATGGTGCCATCTTGACTATAGTTACATCTAAATCAGAGGATCGCTAAGGCATTAGACATACAAGTATGACTTTTGTTACAGCTGCTTTGAAAAAAATGTGACTTTTGAACTGTACTGGACAATTTGATCAAGAATCAAACTGACTCTGATCTGATATCAAATGAACATCTGACTGAAGGCGAAGATTATCAGTGAACAATGATTCAACAATGAGCCTTTTCTTCACACAAGACTATCAAATTACTCCAGATAACTTTGAATACAGCACACAAATCATATGGACTATTTTATAGTGTGTTTTTTTTTCATAATTATGATGTTAAACAGCTGTGAAGTGTGTAAACATTTTTCAAAATGACAAATTTTCTATTTTACAAATACACTCATAAGGGTTTGGAACTACATGAGGGTGAGTCAACTTTTTAATACAAGTATGCATGACTAGAGGACATCTGTCTAAAAACCCAAGCGGACCCTTACTTAAGTTTTACTGCCCCTGCTCGCTTTCACAGAAACTCTCACACGCACTCACATTCCCCAGACACTGAGAACATGGAAAAGCACTAGTCAGCATTGGGAGAGCTGAAGCTGAGTGGTAACCCTATTCCTCTTTTCCTGTTTTTCTGCTCTAGTTAAATCTGAGCTATGAGATTTTGAGCAGGCAGAGGGGATGTGACGTATACAGAAGCACGAGAGCCCACCTTGTTGTTCCGGTATAGCATGCTGCCTGACAGGCATTCCTCCCTGTTACTGAAGCCAGCTTCTCCAAGATGACTATTCCTACGGCAGCAGGCCTCAGGCACCACTTCACCAGGGTTTATAAACCTGAAGATGCTTTCCTCAAAGTCTTCTGGACTGTTCACTCCACAGCAGTCAAACTAGAGGGATACAGAGGATCCAGGCAAATATTAGTTAAAATAAGCTCATTATTGAGGTATTGATGGGTCAAATAAGTTTGGTAAACAGTGATTCGCAGTAGCTGAAGTTTAAGGAACAAACAAGACCTACTGTATTCATAATGGCGTTCCACGTTGATGTGAAGACATCAGTGTTGTTGTAGCCTTGGTAGTGCCTCTTCAGTTCCTTAGTAAAGTATTCTCTGGTCAGCTGTACACGCAAACACAAATTAAAATATTAGAGATATTAGCAGCACGCCAACACTGAAAACATGAAGCTGCCTCATCATGTTGGACATGGTCACTCACATGTTCCCGGAAGATGAAGGCGAGAATGGCTGCCGCCAGCTCTGCCAGGAATATAATGAGGATCAGCATGAAGAACTGCAGAGAGAGGAGGATTTTGTCACACAGTCTGTGTTTGGGTCAGACAACTGTATTTACTAAAGGCCAATTCACACCACACCGACAAACGCCAACAGACTAGTTGTGTGCGTTACCCCTGTCGGCGTTTGTTGCCGTTGGTCGGAGTTGGTTTTAACCCGACTGAACATGTTTAATCGGCGTTTGTTGGGTCGTGGAATGTCTGAGCAGTGTGATATGATTTTCCAACAAACGACAACAAACTCTGACGTAATCTGACCTGGCCACGAACCGTTGCCATGACAATGAGGCAAGACTGCAAGTAGGTGCTGGGCGCGCTTAGGAAAATAACTTTAGAAATGGCAGGTTTCTGGACAAACCAGAAAGAGGAACAGTTTTTGGATCTGGGAGGAGAGGCCAGAGCTTTATGCGGTGGGTGTGGCCGAGTATACCAACCGTAACGCGAGGGGGAATGCGATCAGATATCGCTACAGCGCTTGGGAAATTTCACAATGGAAATTTATTTGACAATATATTATTATTATAATAAAACTGCCTTACAATATTACCAAAGACATTAATAACAGTATCATTTTGATTGTTGTACAAGATCATCCATTTTCCCCCTAGTTAGCTCGCCCTGACTTGAAGTCTGTTGGTGTCTGTTGGGGCAGTGTGAACGAGTTATTTTTCATAAAATTCTAAATCCAGCGGCCAACTTGTCTGTTGGCGTTTGTCGGTGCGGTGTGAATTGGCCTTAACAGACTAAATCCTGTCTGTATGAATATAACTGCTATGAAACAGGACTGTATTTTGCGACACTCTTAAAAATGGTGGTTCTCTAAATGGGTTTGCACAACAATGCCATAAAATAATCATTCCCCAAAGAACCTTTCAGTGAAGAGTTCTTAAAAGAACCATTCATTTCTTAGTGTGAGAAACATTTGAATAATTTAAAGAACCTTTTTCCACTGTAAAGAACCTTATGTCCAATGGAAAGGTTTTCAAGGTTCTTTATGGAACCATAGATGTCATAGATGTACTGTATGTAGCCTATGTGTCAGCAGCTTGAAACATAGTGTCCTCCAATATACTGTGACTCACAAAAAGCAGCAAACACTTGTTTTCTCGTATGGCTCCGCAGCAGCCCAGGAAGCCCAGCAGGAAAAGCATGCCCCCCATGGCCAGGATGATGTAAACGCCCATGAAGAGAAGGGGGTTGGCTGCCACTATCTCCCTAAAACCCGTGGGGTCCACCACCACCCACACCCCAACACCAAGGAGGAAGGAGCCACCCAGCTGTGGAGATGGATAGATAAAGAAAAAAAGCCATGTAATATTACTATATTACAGTTTGTGTTATTTTTCACTTTTTTATAAAGCAAAAAATAAATCAATTTCATCTAATTTGCATGAAAGGCGAAATTAAAATTTCAATGCATTTATTTAAACGTATACAGTTTCTACAGTAAAATTAGGGAGGTTTACCTAGGGTTGATAAAGGTCTATAGTGATTTTCATATGTCATATGCAAATAGTTTGACACATAAAAATTTGAGGAGTAACATTTAAAGGCATAGTTCACCCAAAAATGAAAAGCCTCATGTCATTCTAAACCTATATGATTTTTCTTTGTGGAACATATTATGACAAATGTCTCAAAATGCTTTTTTTTGTCCATACAATGGAAGTCAATGGTAACCACAACTGTTTGGTTACCAACATTGTTCAAAATATCTTGATGAAATGATGAATTTTGGGTGAACTATCCCTTGAATGATGCTAAAATATTGGTCCAGGCATACAAATCTCAAATGAATCTTCATTGTGATTGGATCAGTTAACATGGGGCCACTTCACACACCCTTCACAACATCCAAAATAATTTCCTACCTATTACAGAAAAAAAAAAAAAAAAAATGACAGTTCAGCCATTCTGCATCTTCCCCATTTCCTATCCAAGCATTTTGGTTCAGTTTTTGGCAACAGTAGGTCTTTTATTGAGGGCTTAAGTCTCTTCAACAAAGGAACATTTTTGTTTATATGGAACATATATTTTTACTTAATCATCAGTGACTGAAAAGCCTTGAACAAGGCTGAAAATCTTCAGAAAGTCTAAAAAAATATCTAATTTCATGGATTTTCAGTAGCAACTTTAGTAATTTTCATTTAATTTTCACAGTACCCATATTATTATTTTAGTGGAATTTAATGTTGTATGATAAAAAAGGTCCTTTAGCTCCTTGTTATAATCATATTCACATACCATAGTATTTACATGATTACACATCAGATAATACCATTGGTATTTTAGTGAATTAGTAGAATTATTTCAGATAAAGGATTCTACTAATGGCACAAAATTACATTCTTACATTCAAGACACATTCTATGAAAGCAATATGCAGTAATATCCACTTAACATCCTCTAATAAAATAACACTTTTTAACATGAACTAAAAAAGATCATGATTGCTGATTATTTTACAAGTGCAGGATTAATGATTGTGATAAATATGAAAAATGATTATGCACCACAAACTGCTGAGTTGTATGCACATTACTTGGTAAAGTGAACACAAAGGTTAACGTGCTACCGAGCAGAGAGAGAATACTAATGGGCTCGACTCTTGAAAATAAATAATTTTTGAGTAAACGGCTACTGAAAGTGAACGCTCCTAGAGAGGAGGGGGAAGGTGAATGGATAGAGGAGCTTGAGGAGTTTTAACAGGCGAGTCAAAGACAGTCGAATGGGGGCTGGGAAACGCTACTGTTCCTTTTGCAGCTTCCCACAATCCTCTACCTGTCAAAGTGATACCCTTCCTCCATACCATCGTTCATAGACACACACACACACACACACACAGACACACACACACAGATGAAGGTTTGAGCAGACACCAGACTGGTGATTAAGCAGCTCAAGAAGCGTGTGTGTGTGTGTGTGTGTGTGTGTGTGTGTATGGGTTTGTGTGGTGGGTTTTGAGATAAGAGCCTCACACAAAAACATGTTCCTCAGTCTCTCTCTCCTGTGAGCCAAACCTGGGATTCTTTTCATGGATGGCATTAGCAATGTGTCTGTCAAGCGGAGTCCTGTCACAGCAGCTATTTTTGTCATAAACAGCTTGACTGTATCACTAAATTGGTGTTTTAATAGTTTTTAGGGTTGAATAAATATGAGCAGCTGTTTTCGGCTTATTAAATGGATTTCAGAGAATTATATTAGCATTTTTGAACAAAAACAAGCTATTTTATTGTTGGCGTTGCACTTACGTGTGTACATCACATTATTCTCGCTGTTGGGATATAATTAATTCAGTCAAACGAAATGAGTCCAAATCTTTCTCTGTCTATGCCAATCCCACAGTGGCCATTTATATTGTCAACCTAGATAGATGATCAAAGAAGCACTTGCTGTCTCTTCCCTCCTTCTCTCCCTATATCTTCCCCTCTTTTGCTTTGAAATGTTTAAACAAGTAGTTGTTCTGCTACAAATCTGTGAATCCTAACAGTCTACAGGCTGAATTTTGGGGGAAATATAAAGTCAAAGAATATCTTTGTGAAAAATTAGTACACTTTAGCATACTTTTAAAAAGAGCAACAGGGCTAAAGGCACACCTTAAGAAAAAATGTGCTTTTCACTGCACCTAAAATTATAAAAAATATAAGTATGTAATAAACATTAATGGAGCAACATATTTTGTATGAAAATAAACCATGCAAGTCGTTTATTTTGTTTAAAAATCTTATAAATGTATGAGGTGGCAAGGGAGGCACACAGTATTGATACAAATACTTAAAATAATGTTTTTTTTAATAATGTCTAAGTTAATACTAAGAGGGGTAAAAGCTCACCAGCACGGGGTAAAAGGCACACGGTATTGATACAAATACTTCAGCTAAAATAATGTTGTTGTTTTAAATAAAGTCTAAGTTAATACTTGTTCAAAACAATCACTTTAGCACAGTTTGTACTATTTTCTGCTTATTTTGAAAAATAAAATAATTAATTTTTGTTTAATAAATATACTATCATTAAAACATGTTAATATAAAAATATATATTTTAAAATACAGAAACAAAATCATTAAAAAAAAAAGATTCTGAAAGCATTGAAGGAGATCCCATAATAATTTAACAGATTTACAGTAGTCACAACAAATTATATTTTATTATATGATATGATTATATCTATATAATTAGGCTATTCTCTGAGGGTATACAGGCTATTGCATCCATAGGTTGCTTACGTCACTTCCTGTTTGTTGCTGCCGTGTGTTTTGAGTTTTATTTACCATCTGAATCTAAGCATGTCATGTCAATAAATGTAAAAGTCAGCCATCTATTAATTATCATGTTAATTACTGTGTGCCTTTAACCCCAACAGCAGGGCCACTTTTTTACCCCAAATACCATACTTTTAAATATTCGTTCGTTATTTAAAAACTGTTGCTTTAATTATCTTAAACAAAACTGAAAATTGTTAAGAAGGCCTTTGTCTCAAAATATATGCATTAATTTTAGTGATTCTCAATTGCTACTTAAATCTACAACATTTTAAAAAACATAAAATATTAGATCAAGTAAGCACAGAATCAACTTTGCACTGCTGCGCGCGATCGCGTCAAGGATCAGCCAAATATACACATGCATCTTGAAAAGCGAATGTTCTGGAAAGTTCCCACGGCTCTCGGCCCCGCCCCGCCCCGCCCCGCCCCACTCGTCACATTAAATAAAGTCATTATTTTTGTTTTCTTTGTGCAAAAAAAGTATTCTCGTAGCTTCGTAAAATTACAGTTGAACCCCTGATGTCACATGGACTGTTTTACTGATGTCCTTGCTACGTTTCTGGACCTTGATCATGGTAGTAACCTTGCTGTCTATGCAGGGTCTGAGAGCTCTCGGATTTGATCAAATAATACAAATTTGTGTTCTGGGTTCTTACGGGTTTGGAACAACATGAGGGCGAGTAAGTATTAACAGAATTTTAATTTTTGGGTGAACTAACCCTTTAAGTTTAATTAAAAAATATTAATTTTTATTTCTTAAGTATTATTTACTTAAGAAAATAATGAATTTCTTTCAAAAAATGATGAGGTCAAAGGTCAAATATCAGCTAGTCTCAGGTAGTCCAAGTTAATTCACTTGGTGGCCATCTTGGTAGCACTCAAAAGCAGTTACTTGTCCAGCTAATGCACATTCTAGAGTAAACAAACTCTATCAAATAGGTGACTAGCTGTTGTAAATGAAAGGCGGAACTTCTATTCCTTTAATCGCCACATTATAACCGCTCCAGTTTCTCACATTCATTTCTCTATGAGTAGTCTGTATCTTTCCCTTTGTACTCCTCTACTACTCTGCGAAGTGTTTGTCAACGTCAGACACATAAATACTCACAAAGATAAGGAAGTTGAAGACAAACATGAGGTACTTGATGCAGCTGAGGCAGTCTCCTTCCATGCTCGTCCCCCTCGCTGAAGCCTCCCCGAGCCCCTTGGAAGAAAAACAAACATAGCGTCATCTCTGAACTTAATCAGAAACACTCACAATCGAGCCTTTCATCTACATATTGACACTCGGCACAAAAACATTTGTACTAAAGCACTGTCTAAAAACTTAAAAGGTTCACACAGTTTGTACGACACTGAACGAAGTAATGTTAGCATCAAAAAAGGCTTTTCAGCAAAATCCCGTATTCAAAGTGCATTCAAACAAGGTGAATTCAGGGTTCCCATGTGCATACTAAAATGGCCATACTATTTTTTTTAAAGGCACAGCCTCCCTTTTAGTGTAATTAATGATGAAAGGCTCTTGTGTTTCAGCAGACCATCCCTCTACCTGAAAAAGCACTCTCTGGGATGAAGGCCTATTATGGCGCCACTTTCCTTAAATGAAATGGGGCCTTTTTCATTAGTTCTAGGAGAGCGCTAACAGCCAGCACTGGCAGACCTACCCTACCATTACTCAGACAGCACACAGAGGGTGTATTACATGAGGGTGTCATCCTTAAATACATGTTTGAGTGCAACCTTATCTCGCTGTGCAGTGCTAATACCACAAGTCTTGTTGCAAACAACAATACATGATGGATCGCAAGCATTATTAATAGATATAATCATAGTGGTGAGAACTCTGTGGAAGAGAGAGGCCAAGGAAAATCACTTGTGTGTTGACTTGGAGCCAGAAATAGAATGTGGCTTGATGACAAGTACACTAACCATGACCTTTCTTTTTGTTTTTTCCCCCTTCCTTCTTGTTTTCTTTGTATTTTCCTATCTTGTCAGATGCAATCCCATTATGCTCTGGCAGAACTTTCTCAAAAGAGGTTTTTGGCTCTCCCAGTGTTGTTTCTTTGGCTCACCCTGTATCACCCAAAGTGGTTTCCTAGAGCTCTATTGATCTTTATTGAAGAGATGAGTCTACTGTATATCGGCCAAAAATGGAATCATCTACATCAGGAGTTTCAAACTGGACTGGAAGGGGGTCCAGGGGAAATTTGAGAGGTATAGCGAGGGAGTGAGAGCGAGAAAGAAAGAGATGAAAGGTATTAATACTTGAATGTATGTATGTGTATATCTATGTCCATCTATATTTACATTACTTAAAAATAGATATTTTTAGAGTTGTCAAAGTTAACTTTAACTTCATACATTAAATAAATATGTTAAAAAACACAATATTATTAACATATTAACACATTTTAAATATTAGTTTCAATTTGCTTTCTAACAAGTTTTTTTTTTTCAGTTTTAAAGGTGACATCATGAAAATCTGACTTTTTCCCGTGTTCGAGTGCTATAATCGGATCCCTGGTGCATCTAACAAACCAGAAAACTTGAAAAAGAACAAGCCTGTAAATTTTTTTGGTAAGCATTTCTCTTCAAGTTTGTAAAAAATGAGCCACTCAGATTTTGCTCCCCCCAGTGACATAGAAAATGGATATTATTATAATTTTACCGCCCCTTAATCAGCAAGTTTCCACCCATGGTGAAAGTTCGAGCAAAGCATGCTAACTGTTCTATCTTTGGCTGCACCGACGAGCACAGAACACTATTTAGAGTATAAATTAAGTATAAATAGATCTTTTTTAAGATTTATTTTTGCCATTTTTGTCTTTATTATGATAGGACAGATCAGAGCTGACAGGAAGTGAAGTGGGAGAGAGAGAGAGAGGGGGGGAAACAGGAAATGTCCTCGAGTCAGAATTTGAACTCGGGAGACCCGTAGCGCAACGGTGTTGTATGTCGCATGCTGCCCACAAGGCTATAGGCGCCGACATAAATAGGTCTTTAAACATTAAAAAAAATATACAGCTGTAATTGTATTTAAGGATGTGGGTACCTCACAAGGAAATCATCATATTTTGGGGTCTTTATCATATTGAAAAGTTCTGATCTGGGAAAACTTGTTGCTCTTATGCAGAATAATGATTTTGGGAAATAACGATGATCTTGCAATCTTTCACTGCCCAAAGAAATAGACAGAGATGCAGCCTGTGTTTAATGGATCCTTTCAATTAAACGAAGGGCCCTAGTATCAAAAGTGTTGGCAAAGTGCTTATAGCACCCTCAGGGCAATTAGTGTTTTAATTACCCTCATTCTTAACAAAGGCCAAACCAGGGAGTTTTAATTTGGGTTGCATAGATTAAAGCTTTCATTAGCAGCATCTGATGACCTCTCTTGTATAATTTGATATGTTCTTTGCAGGTCGGCAAAGCCATTTGCACCTGGATGCGGGGAGCGTGGGCCGAGAACGGCATAAAAGCTTTAAAAAAGTGGGCCTGCAAAATTTGGATCCACATCTGAGAAGGCGTTTCTCTGGTTTTGTGTAAAAACTTCAGCATGATGCTTATCTTGCTGAGTGCAGGAGACCAACACACACTCCCAGTTGGAGCGCACTGGTGTAAAGCATCTTGGATCCTAGTATAAATCAAACTGCCTGCGGATCGGAGCTGGCTCTGGAGAAAGTGCAGAATAAACAGGGTATTTTTCCCAAGACTCCCACGGCACTGCAGTCATCATCAATCAAACACACATAGCTACATGTAACAGGAAGGTCTGCAGTGAAACTACATGCTCGTTGCAGCACATTTACGCAGTCCAAAGAGCTTCAGCAAATCCAACAACATGATCAAGACTGATTTGTGTTCAGCTCATTATTCCAAAGCCTGGGGTCTCTGATTATGAGACCAAAAGCACAGTGTGTTTTTTTACTTCTAAGAATTGTCTTTGTAGTCTCGTACACAATGAAAACAGCAACAAATTCATCAAAATGCAGAAATATCTGAAGCAAAGCAAAAGTGAGGCCAGATCAACAGCATGTGTGAATATGAAAGAGACTGCTGCTTGTTCTCTCACAGACATTAGCTGACACGTACACAGTCAGCAGCACCCACAGAAAGAAACAAACACACCTTACCCCCACTGTCAAATAAAATTAAACCCATACAACACTCTTCATGTGATATACATTCACTGCTATAACATCACAAAATCTTCTGTTTTTGTTTTACTGACCTACAATCTAGAGGAAAAGTAATATTTCTTTGTTAGCATAATGAATTTTTCAGACTGTGAAAAACTGCAGACATACAATCTCAAATTAACAGCAAAAATGTAGATAAGAACCTTACATTTGGATGGGAATAATTTTCATAAATGTGTTTTAGATTCACAACTTCAATAATGCTTCACTGCAGGGTTTCTATCCAGGAAATGTGGCAGTTACTGTAATGATTCACAAGCAGAGGTCAATTGCAAGGCGCTCATTAGTGCAATTGTTTTTCGTCCGTATAAACTTCGCATTTCTGCAATACAGAGATTGAATGCTTATGCAAATCAGTTTTCATGTGGTAACAATATTTTTGTTTTCATTCTCTGTAAACTTCGCACTCCTGCAATACAGAAATTTAATACTTATGCAAATCACATCTTCTCTTTCTGCTAAGAATATTTTCTGGGAAAAAAAATGGCATATTACAATAATTTTGAGTCTAATACTTGAATATCTATGCAATATATGCACTTTTCCTGTATTACGTGAAACATTGGAAGAGGTGTACTATTATTTTCCTACACAGTTACAATTTTTTTGCCTGTTTCGGTGGACTGTTTTTGTGCTGAAGCAGGTTATGAGGAGGAGGGGTAGCTCAACTCTAATAAAATACAAAATAATATTATACGAATAATACTCATTAATACTTAATTTTTTTCTAAACAAATTTAGAAAAATCAGATCAAATCTTTTTGGAAAATTCTGATATTACAATAGAACTACATATTGTTTAGGTAGTAATGTTGTTTTGAAACAACACCTGTAAACTATAAGATGACCAAAAAAACTTTATAGTTCTAATAATGCAGTTGTAACAAAAGCATTGCTTTAGAAAATCATAAACCTCACATTTCAGCCTTTAAACAATTTTTAAGCAAAGAGACAAGGGAAAAGACAAAATTATAAATCATTATGTATTTTATATTTCAAACAGAAGACGGGCAAAATGAAAATGCAAATTCACACTCTGACAGTAGGGTGCATTTGCCCCCAAAACACACACACAAATAAAAACCTCCTTGGAATTTTTATGTATTTTCTGAATGGCCTATTTCAATGTCAGAATGGTGAATTTGTAAATATGCATTGGCCAGTAAGTAATCACCCAAGAAACTAGAAACCACGTGAAAGCCTTAGCAACCACAACCATACCTCAGTTTTAAGGCAATTACCACTCACATATCCCTTGGAAAATGAAAAAAATAAAAAATAAAGTTCGCAAGCTAAAAGTCACTCATCCTCCCTGAGGTCTTCCTTTAGAAAACCACACTTTTTTAAACAAATAGGTTGAAGAGACTCTCCTTGAAGTTGACACTTTTAACATGATTAATCCACTGTCTGGTTTAGTCATTCTTACCCTATTAACTGGGACAGGATCATTAGCTGAAGGACAAGGACACTGTGTGCTGGTCAGCTCTCCCCCATCAGCCATGAGCTTGCATACGTAAAGAGCAATATAGCATGAAACACAGGATTCACAAGAGCACTGAACTTCTTCACCCTCAGTGAATCAGATGACTGCTAATTGTTCTTTTCAATGCACAGCTTGAACAGCTAGTGACAAATACGCTATGTCTGTGTGAGTGTGTGTGTACATCCATAGTGCTCCATTCAAGAAAATTCAGCAAATCGAATTTTCCGTGTAGACATTTTTATGATACATGTGAAACTGGAAAACATTCTAGCTGTGTTAGGGGAAGGGGTACGACAGCATGGTCTACCCAGCAGGCATATATAGTCCCTTAATGAACCTCCAATTAGGGCAGAATAAGTCACATGATTCTCAGCTTTGAAGTCTGCATAAGTTAAAGCAGTTACAGCATGTTCATAAAGAGGGCAGGTACCTCACATGTATCAGGGAACATAGTAATGACTAACTGCCATATTTGGCTGTATAATTAATGAAAACTTCAGTCTATAATGAGCCTAAAGCTTTTAG